TCCACAGCAAAAGGAAGAAGAAGAAAATGGCAGGGCCACTGTGTGGGGTGCAGCCCAGCTCCATCTCCATTCAGAGGGGCACTTCTCACGCCTTTCCAAAGTTAGGACTTTTCCAGCTTGAAAAAATGGCCGCCTGAGTGCCTCTCTGAGAGGCGATGGAGCTGGGTTGCACCCAGGTAGTGAGTTCAGTGGCTAAATGTGTCTGATACTATCAGGATGCTGTCCGCTTCTAATTTTAAGCCGGCTCAGGTAAGACACTTTTAATTATGATGCAATAATCTTCTTTTTCAGAAAAAAATGATTCATCACTCAAGGACACAAGGCACTCTTTGTTGCAACCCTTAAATACCATCTTCCACCCACTGGGGGTGCAGGCACCCCAGGTTGGGAACCAGTGGCATCATTGGGTGAGAAGAGGTGCAGATCGCACTGGGTGACACCCCACAGGAGGAGTAATACCCCACAAGAGGGGTGACACATTTGAGGGATCCTCTGTGGCGAAGGGGTGAATACACACATTGTGGCTTCACAGCAACCGAACTCCCTCCCCAGGAAGGGAGCCAAGGCAGTAGTGAGAGTGGTGGAGGGGTGAACATACCCCTTATTACTTTGTGCTGAGGTGGTGGCAAGGGTGGTGGAGGGGTGAGCATGCCCCTCATGGCTTCATTGCTGGCCTGGATCTCTCCACAGAGGAGCTGGGCTGGCACTGAAGCCACGATGTGTGAGCAGCAGGGGAACAGGCCGCTACCACCATCACCCTTGGCACCTAACTCACAGGGTGTTAAAGCAAAGCAGCTTCATTTACTAAGCCTAGTGACCCCACTGTGGGGCTCCCTGGTGTAATCAAAGGGAAATTGGAAAATCCACATTAATAGAAATCTCAGTCTCAACAATCTGCTCTGGCTGGGACAAACAAATCAAATTTGGCCCACTGGGACTTCAACTGGTTACTGGTTTCTTTTTTATTATTTATTTATTTATTTATTTTTATAAATCTTTATTGCTTTAAAAAACATGTAAACATATCACATAAATATACAGACATAAACCACAAATGCCTAGACATAAACAAACTAAACGTTAATCTACAGCATCAACACAAAAATTAAAAACAAATGACTTCCAAATGTATAGTGGTTGCTGTTCCTGTTTCTTAATCATTCTTCTACTGTTAGTTAATAATCATTATCTCTTGTCTTTTTCTGCAACTGCAATTCTAAATAAGCTGTATCTTTGTTAAACTGACAATATTACAGATTACATCATTCATTTATTCATAAATTCCTAGAATCTAACCACATGTATAAACTTAACCATGTACTATGTACCTTATTTTCTTTTTAACTTTTCCTCCAAAGAAAGCTCTTTGAGCTCTTTTGAGTTCCTCTAAATTTCTACTTAACTGAGGTGCAGATATGTTTGGACCACAGTTCCAAAGTCTGAGGCCCTGAAGTCAGGGAAGAGGACAGGGAATGAGCACCTGGAGAATGGCAGGTGATGTGGACAATGGTACATTGTCCTAATTTCATTGCCTGGGTCAGCATGGCCATTCAGGAACTCATGAAGGAACTCATGGCTGCCACAGCATCCTTTCTATGTTCTTGATTTGTTTGTTTTAAAAGGAAACATTTTATAGTCAGTGAACAGGCAGTTGGGCAACTATAGGACTGTTTCTTGTTGTTGCTGTTGTGTGCCTTCAAGTCATTTCTGACTTATGGTGACCCTAAGTTGAACTTATCATGGGTTTTTTCTGGGGCTGAGAAAGTGTGCCTCATCCAAGGCCACCCAGTGGGTTTCCATGGCCAAGCAGGGAATCGAACCGTGATCTCCAGAGTCACAGTCCAGTGCTCAAACCCCTACACCATGTTGCCTCTAAGGCACCCCTATCAATGAGTTTTCTTGGCAAGATTTGTTCATAGAGGGTTTGCCTTTGCCTTCCTCTGAGGCTGAGAGAGTGTGTCTTGCCCAAGGTCACCCAGTGCATTTTCATGGCCTAATGGGGATTCAAATGCTGGTCTCCAAAGTTCTTGCTCTTGTATACTGGACCACTTCACTAAACTTGCTCTTGTATACTGGACTACTGATAATCATTTTTATTCTATTTTTATATTAACTTTATTTCCAATGAAATGGTGCTTTTTTCTCAGTAAATGGTTTTAGTATCAAAAGAGCAGAAGCAAACTCCTGTATTTATTCCTGTAGTCTTGCTGGGATTTTAATTTGAGATTAAAATGTAAATCTGCACATACACAAATTATTTCTTTTTTTAAATTAGTTGGCAAATATGTTTTGGGGAGGTGTAGAAGCAAAAAAGCATGGAATGCTAGGATAGGGGAAAGAGAAGTAGATTTAGTTGTATACTTCAGAACAGGTGTAATGCACCTTGGTGTCCAAAGCCCCACACCATAAGGCTAATTATTCTGCCTCCATTAGACAATTTGTTAACATATGTGAAGTTATGCTCTTAGTAACTACTACTACTTTATTTCAAAAATTAGAACATGTCACTCGACGGAAGACTGAATCTGGACACATTTTGGATTAAGAATAAATATGCATTTGCTTCATCAGTTGAACATTCTAATGGTGGACATTATACCTGCTATTCTGAAGAACTTGCTGTGAATCAAAGCATTTTTGTTAAAGTTTTAGGTAAGTTATATGTCATACAAGATATGTCTGTGTTGACATATGCATGTCTTTGGTACTATTTTCAGCATGAAAATGTTTAACCTTTTCTTCCATTAGAGAGAAGCTGGAAATAGAGTTAAGCTGAATGTAGGTAGCAAGGAAAATAAAATCCTACCCCAAAGAAACCCACCACAGCACACATATATATATATATATATATATATATATATATATATATTCCAAATGAACCAAAGCTGCAAATACAAGTTACATTTTCAACACCCTAACCAAACTTTACAAGATTTGGAACATGGTGTAAAATCACATGTTCCTTCCTTCTTTCAGATTTACCCTTCCTTTCACCATTCTAGCCTTATCATAATATACATGCACCAGAAAACCACTAATCCAGAGGTGTGACTGTGGGTGTTTGGATCACAAATATAAAAATCCACCACATTCTGTATGAGGATTCTAAATGCAAGTTTTCTAAACTCACTGCTAAACAAGGTTAGGCTTAATTTGCAACCAAGGTTTTAAAAAGTGATATTTCCAACTGAACTACCTATGATTAGTATTAATGACAGTGCATAATTCTGCAACATAGACTCCAACCATACATGGAAAAAGAGATCCCAAAGGTCCAAGCAGGGTTCAGGAAAGGAAGAGGCACTAGGGACCACATTGCAAACATACAATGGCTAATGGAGCACACCAGGGAATTCCAAAAGAAAATCAGCATGTGCCTTATAGACTACAGCAAAGCCTTTGACTGCATAGGCCATGACAGGCTATGGAATGCCCTTAAAGACATGGGAGTGCCAGCACATCTGATAGTCCCGATGAGGAATCTGTACTCAGGATAAGAGGCTACTGTCAGAACAGAACATGGAGAAACAGAATGGTTCCCAATTGGTAAAGGGGTCAGACAAGGCTGAATCCTTTCACCCTATCTGTTCAACTTGTATGCAGAACATATTATAATATATAGGATTGGACACGGAAGAAGGAGGAGTGAAAATCAAAGGAAGTAATATCAACAATCTGAGATATGCTGATGACACCATAGTACTCACATTAAACCTCACAGACCTGGAAGACCTACTAAGGAAGATCAAAGATGAAAGTGCAAAGGCAGGCTTAATGCTGAACGTAAAGAAAACAAAAATAATGACCACCAAGTACCTTCACAAGTTCAACTTAGACAATGAAGAAATAGAAATAGTAAAAGAATTCCCATACCTGGGATCAAACATTGATAGAAATGGGGACTGCATCAAGAAATCAGAAGACTAAGAATAGGGGAGGTGGCTATGAAAAAACTAGAAAAGATTCTAAAATGCAAAGATATACAACTGAACACAAAAGTTAGAATCGTACAAGCCATTGTATTCCCTGTTACCATGTATGGATGTGAGAGCTGAACAGTTAAGAAAGATGATAGGAAGAAAATCAATGCATTTGAGATGTGGTGCTGGAGAAGAGTGCTGAGGATCCCATGGGCAGCCAAAAGGACAAACAAATGGGTGCTAGAGCAGAGCAAATGGAAAACCCTCTGTAAGCCAAACTGAGGTTGTCATACTTTGGACACATCATGAGAAGAAAGGACTCTTTGGAAAAAACAATAATGCTGGGGAAGGTGGAAGGCAATAGGAAGATAGGAAGGCCACATGCCAGATCGATGGACTCTATTAAGGAGGTCATGGGTATTAATGGGTTGCAGAACTTAAGCAGAGCTGTGGAAGACAGAGAGTCTTTGAGATGTCTTATCCATATGGTTGCCATGAGTCAAGATCAATTCAAGGGCAGTTAACAACAATAAAGTCTTAGGACGTTATCACACGGCGGAAATCTGCTAGTTAATCCACACAAATCCCAAACCGAAACTGGATTTGTGTCTCACGATTTCACACGACATCACACAGAAACTGGACAGAAACTGGATAGAAACTGGTGTTATCCGAGATCTTTTGAAATTCAGTAGTTTTGAGGAAATGCATTTGCAAAATTACAGTAATTTCGCATTTACCGTAATGTGAAAAGCAAATGCGCATTTGGGAGCATCTCCCTGCTTTTCCCATGGTTCCACGGTGAGCATTCCTCTATCTGTGCATATGCAAGAAGATCATTTCTAGTACATTTACGGGCTTTTCTCACTTGTGTGTGAATGTTAAATGCGCTTACTGTAATTTTGCAATTAAGGTAATTATGTGTGAAAGCCATTTGCGGAATCAAGGTTTATTGTCGGTTTATTTTTGAAATGTCTCATTTCCACTTTATTATCACTTTCTGGCCCACATGTGATAACGTCCATAGCACTGCACCATAGCTGGCTCAGAAAAGGAAGCGGAGGTTCATTTACACTCAAAAGATGATGTAGAAAGAGGAGGAAGTATGTAACCATATAGTATATTCTTAATTTCCATGCCTTGTTTAGGATACTGAGGATATTATTGCATTGAGCCTGAAGGGCTCACATGATTTTCCAATAATCTGGGCCATCTTCCAAAGTAATGGTGTGATGACTATGGCCCTCAAAATGTCGTTGGAGGGAGTGGTGTCTGGTAGCTTCCATGGGCATGTCTACATGGGCTATTTACATCAGTTTCCCCCTGGCCTGTCCAGATTATTATTATTATTATTATTATTATTTGTACCCCGCCCCTCTGAGAACAATCGGGGCAGCTAACAATGTTAAAATACAGAGATACAATTATACACCCCAATACCCACCCACCCCTTAAAAAAGTATTAAATCAATGGTACATTAAAAGGTCATAATTAAACATAATAATAAAACCAGAATAACATGGGAGTTACACAACTAGTGACAAGGAGGTGGCAACATTCATAATAGGAGGGATGAGACTGAAGGGAATTTCCTGAGGCTGGGACAACTATCCTGTTTTTGGGTCCAAGAGTTCTTATGCTTGTAAATAATCTCATTGAAATAACTTAACACAGAGACAAAGCTCCAATTCATGTCTTCATGTGGGAAGGCCAGTTCTGCACTGAATCTGGGCCATCCTTGCCTTAAATTGAATTTTTAAAACCTACCCTTTTGCTCCAGATTTTCCAGGAAAATCTAAAACATTCTGGAGCAAGACAGGTCAGCTGTTTACACAGTGTACCACTGTGCCTCATGATGGTACTGCTGCTGGAGTGGGTCACACCTTCTGAGCTCACAGTGAAGCGTCCAGCCATGTGATTGATATTGGGCACCTCATTTTCATAATCAATGACTTGGGTGATGGAATATAGGGCATGCTTATCAAATTTGCAGATGACACCAAATTAGGAGGGGTAGCTAATAATCCAGAGGACAGGATCAGTATTCAAAATTAATTTAACAGATTAAAGAGAGCCAAAACTAACAAGTTCTGGGCACTGCAGTTCAAGAGGGATATTGATAAGTTGGAGCATGTCCAGATGAGGGTAACCAAAAAGGTAAAAGGTCTTGAAACCATGCCCTATGAGCCATGGTTTAGGGAACTGGATATGTTTAATCTGGAGAAGAGGAGGTTAAGAAGTGACATGATAGTCCTGTTTAAATATTTGCAGGGATGTCATACTGAGGATAGAGCAAGATTGATTTTGGCAGCTCCAGATAAGACCTGGAGCAATGGATTCAAACTACAGGAAAAGAGATTCCACCTAAACATTAGGAAGAACGTCTTGGTTATAAGAGCTGTTTGACAATAGAATATGTTGCTTCAGAGTGTAGTAGAGTCTCCTTCTTTGGAAGTTTTTAAACAGAGGCTGGATGGCCATCTGTCAGGAGTGGCAGGGGATTGGACTGGATGGCCCTTGTGGTCTCTTCCAACCCTGTGATTCTATTAAATTTTTTTGCCGCAAAACCATGCTACTATTATATGAAATATTTGTTCTTATTTATTATTGTGTGTTTTGCCATTTCTTACTTATGGCAACCCTAAGGCAAACATATCAGGGGTTTTCTTGGCAAAAATTGTTCAGAGGGGGTTTGCCCTTGCCTTTCTCTGAGGCTGAGCGAATATGACTTGCCCAAGGTCATCCAGTGCATTTTCATGGCTGAGAGGGGATTCAAAACTTGGTGCCCAGAGTTGTAGCCCAATGCTCAAAATACTACACCATGCTGGTTCTATGTATGAAATATAATCCTCATCTTCAAATAATAATTTACTTTATTTGGCAAATGTAAATAATGCCCATTCATGTTCTAGCCATGACTGAGTATTATTCTATTAATACATTTTTGCCC